TCTAGATGGTGTGTGTGTGTGTGTGTGTGTGTGTGTGTGTGTGTGTGTGTGTGTGTGTGTGTGTGTGTGTGTGTGTGTGTATAGCCATGCAAGTCTATGTCCTCTGGATTGCACAAGCACGCGCTATAATCTTGTAACGATCCCTTGATAAATAGTATCATACATTTTGGGAGCCAGCTTCCCAACAATGTCTGTATAATTAACATTTTGGCCACTCATGCATCCATTTTGACACTTTTACAACATTAGGGATGTGTTTCTTGAACCCGTTCATACCTCGTAGCATCCTTAGACACCCCTCCCCTCCCCTAATCTACAGTGTCTATGGCAGGTGCTGGGAACCTCCAGCCTGGTAGCCATATATCTAGCCTGCGAGAGCATTTCATCCAGCCCGCCATGTAATTCTGAAAATAAATCCTCAGCGGAACATCGAACAAACAAATGCCAATAATATCTAATAATACATTTGTTCAATCATGTTTTTTTTTTCTTCATAAATTTAGTTTGGCCCTCAGAGGACTATCAAAATGAGGGTGGGGGGGATAAGGTTCCCCACCACTGATTTTTGGGAACAAGGAAAAGGAGCCGAACCACCTTCATGTTAGGCACCTTTTGGTACTCTTCAACCAGACTTTCTTCTGGACTGCGTGTGGAGTTACCACCACTTGCCGGGTATAGGCGTGCCGCATTCGTACCATCCCACGTAAGTCACATGCGACTTGCCACCGATCTCGCCGAAGCTCACCGGCTCTTGTCGCAGCGCTCTGAAGTAACCTGTGGGGGTTGAGGTGAATGGGATCATCCAGTAGAACACTTTAGTTTACTTGCTGGATTAATCACAACAATCTTGGCAGGAAATGGGATCTTGGTGGAAATGATCGTGTAAAATAAATCTGCACATTGCTCATAAATACCTGGCCTGGATGGTAACTGGTCAGCAAACAGCTGCGTCCCAGTCAGCCCGTCCAAGAAGGAGTCCACAAACTGGCAGTGGTCCTCGCCGTAACCCGATTGATCACCGATATTGTAGAACTTCCCTGAAGAGACAGAAAAAGATTTGTACTCAAGGTTAGAATTTTACGAAGAGAGCTCACACGAACCGAGGCAGACTGAGCAGGACTAATAAAGTAAACATGGATGCACTTCACATTGTGGCGTGACCTCATGTTTGCCACAGTGCTATTTAGCGTTAACGAACAACAGGCAACTCGTTTACAACTTGAAGTACGACTCAAATTTGTATTTACCATTGAGCGAGTCGCTCAGGTAGATCTTGTATCGCAGGGAGTTGCACAGCTGGATGCCCACAAACTTTCGGTACCACGTCCTCTTCACGTATTGCTTCCCGTTGCATTCAGAGTAGGCGTCCGTCTTAAATGGGAATTGCGTCCAGAGGGCATCTTTTCCTGTTCAAAATGATAAAAGGCACATTTATGATGAATTTCAAAGAAAAACCATATGATAAGAAGATCATGATATGAAGCGAGGGCAATATTTACCTGATACGTTTTCACTCACTCGTGGGTCCGCTGCATGTCGAAGGGAAATAATTGTCATTGTCGTGTCGAACATGCAATGTCTGCCTTATACGACAAGAACCCACGTTTATTCATTTTAATGTTTGTCACTCTTGAAAGTCTCTCATGATAAAAAAATAATAATTAGCCAGATGACATAAGTAAGCACAAAATGCAGCTTGTGTTGTCGCCTGTATTAGTCTTTTCCCTCGGGCAATTTATCCTCAGTCAGTTGCTCTCGCGCTCTCTTTTTGGTTTTTATTTTTTTATAATTTATTTGTGTAAAGGTACATATGGGATTTTCTATAATATTTTTTCGACAAATGGTATTGAGTAAAACTTGCCTGACTCCGTATTAAACGTCACAGGCTCGCTGGACGGTCCCGTTCCCAGCTCGTTCTTTGGTGTCACTTTGAACTCGTAACTGAAACAAAACAGAAACAATCAATCCCGCGGATAAACCGAACCTTCGGCACATTTTTGACATTGAAATTCCCCCTTTTTTTCCCCCTGAAATTGTCGCCGTTTCAGAGCCAACGTGAGTCGCGGTGACTCACTCACTAGTCAAACAGCTGATGGTTATTCCACGTGCTCTGAAGCTTAACATATCCTGGCAAAAAAAAAACGGCGCAGGGGATGCTTCTGGTGAACTCCAGATGCAAATCGAAAAACCCTCCACCCACTCCACCCTTTCTGGTTTTGGATTCGTTTTGGTTACATTTGCCTGCAGTAAAAAACCCCAAAATGGTACAAATGGATTTCTGTTATTCAGTGTTTCTCACTCCTTCAAAAAAAAATAAAGTCGTTTTCTGTGCAAAATCCAACGTGTGTGGTGAGATGAGGTTTGTGCTTGTTTATCTGCATTGGCAGCTTTGCCACATACTTGACTTAAGATAAAACCGCTGGAAAACGTGCGCTGTAATCCATCACAATGACGGAGGAATGAGAGATTTCAGGAAAAACAAGGGGGGGGGGGTTGATAACACGCAAGACGCAGCAATTAAACCGGTAAGCCCCTTTTAAAATGACATTTTAATCAGTCCCAGCATAACGCCATTCTCCGACCGATATCACTCCCTTTATTCCCCGGATTTGCTAACAGTCGCGCCACCACAAAGTGAAAAGCAACAAACGATCGTCACCGTGACGTGGTAGTATCGATCACGATTTTTTTTTTTTATCTACTCAGGAACTACGACACGTGGCATATCTCGCGCCAACTACTTTTGATGGATAATGAGTTTTAAAATCTGAATGATCTTGAGACGGTCACATGCCTGCTTTCCGGTTTTAGATTCTCCACCGCCGTGTGCGTCTGGTTCGTTGTCGTCAATATGGACACTTCCTCTCCATTGGGTCCTTTGGCTGTTGATACTACCTCATATTCTGAACATGAGAAGTACAGGCATTTCTATTTTCTTAATCTATTGAATGGTTTATATGAAAAAAAAAACTAAATGGACATCTGTCATAAAGTACTATGTGCAAAGTTCTTGCAGTACCTCTAGTTTCGTTATCGGTTTTCTGCCAATCGAGGATGACGAAAGACGGACACCCTTCGACCGTCACCACCGTGAGGTTGGAGGGCGGGATTCGGGGGGCCGCCGTCACGTTCTGATCGCTGCTGTCCTCGTCGTCTGGGAAGTAAGTCAGGGAGGACGTGATGGAACACGGCTCGTCTGGCTTCTTGTCGGTCTTGTAGACGACGTGAGGAGCTGTGGACGTGTACAGTCGGAGCAGAATATTATTGCTTAGTTTGTATCGCTTGGTTTATAAAGTTTGTTTTTTTAATCAGTTGACATGTTGGTTTTTATTGTTTCTCACAATTGGTTTGTACTGGTCAAGTTGGTTTGTACCATTAGACTGTTGGCTTGTATCAAGTTGACTCATTGGTTTGGATTGTTTGATGGGTAATTTCTATTGGTTGTTGTTTGTATCGTTTGGCCGATTGGTTAGGATGGTTTGTAGCAATTTGACAGTTGGTTTTATTTATTGGCCTTTTTGGTTGGTATTGGTTGACCATCTATATTCATTGCCTCTTGAAATTTGGTTTGCATTGTTGGCTGATGGTCGGTTTGTATTGGTCATTGGTTGGCATGTGGCAGTTGGCACTTGGTTGATGATTGGTTTGCATCGGTTTAATTTGTCATTTTGGTCCGCAACAGAGTTCAATATTGTTTTGTTTTTATCTCAACTCAACTGTATTTATAGAGAACTTTCAAACAGCCATCGCTGCATACAAAGTGCTGTACATGGAGCAACTAACTGACCAAACACATCACATGGGGAGGAAATAAAGTACGATTAAAAGGGCCCAAACGGGTAGTCTTACCCACATAGCGCTTCTTGCCCATAATGTCCACATCGGATGCTGGAAGGGGCCTGAATATGGAGGAATTTTCATTGACCTCAAAACGGCTGCCTGTAAAAAGGAAGCAGGCATGTTATTTTGGTGTGCCGACAGTCTTGGCAGCATGCCTGTCAGCATTTTTCAGAGTTCTGGCACAACAACTTGAAATCACACATCATCTCTTATTTCCTTCTCAGATGACAACCTCCTCACCCGTGGATTCATTGCTCTACACGGAATGATCTCTCCTGAATGTAGACACTTTTACAAGCTAATGGAATCCAGAATACATTCAACGTTTACTTTCAAATCCAAAAATGTTCTAGATTCATTTTGAAGCTTTTCCAGCATGATAGAGCTATGATCAATTGTATATTAACCCTTTCATGCACCCTGTAACCTGATAACATGATAAGCGGTCCACTGTAGTAACCGCTGTCCCTGAAAGGGTTAGAAAAAAAAAAGATATATTCGACTATTCAAAAAAAAACAAGATAAGATTATTTTATTGCTCCCCAGAGGGGAAATGGTGGTACTTTATGACTTTAATAGTCACTCTTGGGCGCCAAAATAAACTAAATGGTGTTGTTTTCCCAAAATCGCAAATGCGACCTATTTTAATGTAGTTGTTAATAGGAACTGAATAATGCGCAATGTTTCAGGTAACACTGAGATGAAACTCTTCTGAATTTTCAGGTTGCCAAACCTTCCTTGGTTTACATTGTGCAGGTTTACATTATGTGTTGTGCATACCATACATCATTACAAAAAAAAAAAAAAAAAAAAAGATGTAGTTTCCTACTGTTTAATGACGGGGTAGTGGTAGTCGTCTGCTGCCTGCGTTCTTGCTTTGGCTTGGACGTGACCAGCGGGAAAGGCTTCAAGATGGACTCCTTGTCGCCTTGTTTGAGGTCCATGGGTTTATCTGAGGTAAGAGAAGGAAAGGAGGAAAGGGCGGGGGTAGTTAATCATGTGACTCACACACAGTTGTGTTCCATCTGCTTTGGTCGTCCATGCAGAGCAGCTCTGTGTCCTTTCTTAGATTAGTTTGCTCCCTGGGATGTGTTGTGCTTTTCGTTGCAAGCTTATCTTTTGTGTTGTGGTCTTTTTTTAAGAAGGCAAGAATATGAGAATAAAGCATTGCGGTGTGACGATTGAGGAGAATGTGGGGTGAAATTAATCCAAGTTTGAGCATTCAACAAGAGGAAATTTTGCGTGAAATCCGATTGCATCGGGACGTCTCAAATCAATCCTCTCGCTACGCCGAACAATTTAAAAATCAACATTTTCACCCACACAATTTAAGGGGGAAAAAAAAAATTAAATGGAATAAAAAGGCAATCAAGTCAAGGATGTAACTTGAGAAGCAGCTCATGCAAGTTTCAGCCCTCACCGTGGTCATTCGGCATCCCCACCAAGTTGGGTCTCTTGTTGACGGGAACGGATTGGCGTAGGACTGCAGAGATTAATTGGAAACATTGCCGACGTTACCGAATTAACAATGGCAAACTCATACAGAGCCAAAGGTGGTCTGCGCTGGAGGAGCAAAAATTCAAAACTGGGAATAAAACGATGGTGGATTAACAAGCTCGCATTTAGAGGTGGATGGGTAATAAAAGTAGACAGCTGTCAACAAAAATGATTTCATACACAAAAAGCGACAATAAAAGCTAGGGATGGGCATGATAATCGATTAATCGAGTGTTGATCAACCGCCCTTGGACAGTGGAAAGGTCATAGAATGAGCTTGCAACCAGCAGAGGTGCTGTTGATTGCAATTTGAAGAACATGACATAAGATGGATGATTTTTTTTTTGTTCCAGCGACGATGACACTGGCATTAAAACAGGAGTTCAGAACATTCAGAGCGTGAATTTACCTTTCATTAATTATCTTTTTTGGAGGGCGTGGGGGGGGGGTCACAATTAATCGATTATATGAGTGTTAATGTCATCAAATGCCCATCCTCGATCAGAGCACGTACGTGTACAAGCCAGGCAGATTGCAAACGTTGCCCCAGTCGACGACGAATCAAAACATCAATTGGCCCCGAAAATTCTTTTAATGATCTGAGAAAACGAACGGCAAGTCCTGCTTTTCTTTTCAACGAGTGACTCATTTCAATAAAAATTAAAAAGAAAAAAGACGTTTGAACCGATGCTTAGTTTCCACAGAATAAGCTTCGATCGTCCTCGCCAACGAGTTTTCAGCCATAACTGCGTCGATCGATCCCATGAGAGAATTTTGCCGGGAATCTAAGCAGAAAGTGAGCAAACCCGAGGAGGCCTGCCATGGAAACAGCTTTGCGACAAACGCTGATTTATTTTTGGGACGCGTGAAAGCCCATCGCACTAAATCATTTTAGAGGAGACGATGCGGCCTGAGGGAGTCTCTCGCCTTGAAGACTTTTTTTTTTTTTTCCTTAATTGGAAAGCAGCTCAGCTACGACACAATTCACAATGCACTCCTTTGGTCATATTTCATTCCCTTATCACGGAGATCAGTCAATGCCTATTGTAACGTGATGCAGTTGTCAATGATCTAAAGCAGCTTCACGACATTGATTTTTGGGATTGTTTCCCCCCCCGCAATCAATGACCTCGGGCTTCAACTCCCCGGCGGAATCGACAGGACGGCCGTCGATGATTCTCCCTGATGAGCCCAAGGTTAACCACCGTATGACAGACGTCTCATGGCAAACGTTATGTCCATGTGGTAATCCATCATGCCGCATGTGATTAAGTGAGCAAAAAGATGATGTCACTCCAAATTGGGTGAAAGTGCAGCGATGTATATCGCATGCGTCGTCAACCCCAACATATGTCTTGGATCATGGCTGTTTTGTACGGCAGCAGTTACATAACTGCTGTCCTTGGCTGTAGGAAACAGCCGGACCTCAAACGCTCCATTCCTGAATGAACTCATATGTTGGAAAAATATAGGCATCGAAAACTGAAGAGCTGTTGCGCGTGACTCTCGGTGAACTGATTCTGCGACGATGCATTGAGCGACAAACAAAAGAGCCACAAACGTTCTGACAAGCAGGGTGAAGCATTGGTGGACTGGGACAAAGAGCGCATGATGATGATGATGATGATGATTATTATGATGTGCACACATTGGGACATACTGTAACAGTGTCTCGTGGGTTAGTGCGTGTGGAACGCAGAAAGGAGATTTTTCTTGTCGGTCTTTACCAGGTTTCTCTTTGGGCCATGCTGCAGGTTTAGGGAGAGCATTGCTCCTATGATGCGCTGTTGGAGGGAGAAGAAGGTCGATTATGAAGTGTTCTGTGTCACCGGTCTTGGCAGTGTCCAGTCAAGAGAAAAGACAGCTGAAGATGTGTGCCTTTGACCTATTTTTTTTTTAAAAAGATGAGCTGTATTTGAAATTGGAGCTGGCATGATTTTATGACATTCATCTTATATTTATATCCTCATTCTCCATTCTCGAAGTCTTTTGAGGTGCCTGTGGGTATGTTTTGGAAAGGATGATACAAACGGGAGGCGGGGAGACCGGCGAAATTGCTCGCACTGTGCTTGGTTTGGCATGCTAGGTGTAAAAAACGTTGCCTGTCCTTGGCGGCGCTGTAGCCAGACATCCCACAAGGCTCAGCGGAGAGGGACTGCAAATCATATTAACGACACCGAGGCCCAAGCCACAAACGCAGCTCATGGCAGAGGTGTAAAGTACATCACACAAGAGCGCGCATGTGGTCGAGCGCGGAGAGTTTTGGGACTTTGCCGAGGAGGACTCAAGACCACAAGATGGTGCAAGCAAACTAGAAACGACAAGCTTTTCAACGTATACGTGACATATTCGCTGCTCAACCAGAAGCCAATCTGCTGTCATCCGTAAATGCGGTGCTGCAGATAAAGATAGGATGTTTGATCAGAGGAGGAGAAAGGGAGATTTAAAGTCGAGGGAGAGAGTTCTCCATTACCCCCAGAAGTCCTGGAGCTGTGGGAGGAGGTGGGGAATGATCTGCCACCATTGCGAGGGAAATGAGGAGGAGGCCGGATACGTGAAAATGTGGTATTTCTTCCTGCCGGATTAGCTGAGGAGATAGTGGGGGAGCGAGGGGCCTCGGCGCTCCGGTTCGTGGTACCTAGATCAGAAGAGAGGCATTCGGGAAGCTTAGTGATCATCCACTCGCGAGCTTGATTCGCGCTACCTAAATGGAACAAATGACAGCGCACATTGGTGAAAGGAATGTAGACGAGAGACCAAGGAATGAAATGACAGCGAGACATGAATGGCACACTGCGTTGTTTGTGAATGGGTGGGGGTTAGGAGGGACTGCTGGGCCGTGATTGACAGCACACATGGTGACAGGGACGATGACGTGGGTGTGAGGATGGAGATGGAGATGGGGAAGCAGTGATATCATCCAGCGGTTTGAGTTGCAACTGGGTGTCATACAGTTTTGACGAAAAGCGGTGACGGTAATGCGGCCAACTTGTCATGGTGTTTACCAAGATTGTAACTATGAGGCTTGTCTGCAGCCGGGGCTGGGATTGGCAGAGGCTTTCCCTTCTCCGGTGGACTAGGAGCTGCATGGGAGAAAACTCATGTATATTCTAAAGGGCATTGGTTGTAAATTTTGACATTGAACATGATCTGTCTTTACGTAAGAGGTGTGTAAAGTAGGTGTTTACCAGTGGGAACTGCCTGCAATGGAGGGACCTCAATGGGGCCAGAGTGACTCGTGCCCCGAGGCTGAATCTCAATTCCAGGCTGCGGTTCTGCTTGAGACTTTGGTGCAAGGATTGCCTCGGTTTGGGATTCGGCTTGGGGCAGATTTTGTGTAGTTGGTGGGAATTGGGAAACGGGTTTCCTTTGGGGTAGAGTGTCTGACAAAGGATGAGACTGGGGCTGTGGCTGGGTCCTACCTGAAGGTTGTGGTTGCTTGCTATGTCTGGTGACGGATTGGTTTTGAGGCTTGGCTCGCTGAGTTTTTGGTTGGGAGTGTGTTTCTGGCCTGTCCGTTCTCTTCAATAAAGGTTGTGTCATGGGCGTTAAAGAAGTCGTCCTCGGTTGGGAAGTTGAATGAACTTTAAACTGTTTTATTGTGCTTGGCCAAGGCTCTGGAGAGTTTTCTTGTTGAGTGAAAGGTTGGACTGCTGTGTCAAAATGGACAATTGATTCGGATTGTGTTTTTATTTGTGGCTCAGTTAAAGAATGGGGTGGTTGTTTAGGTAGGACCCAAGGCATTGTTTGAGTTTGTTGTCTCTGAGGTTGATGGTGCTTTGTTGTTTGAGATGTCTTGGGATGTGCCTCAAATGCAGAATTTATTGTTATTTGTGTTATTGGATGATGTCGTGGTTCAGGCTGACTTGTGGTCTGAGCCTTTGATAGGTGTTGTGGCTTTGTCTGACTTGGATTCTGAGGCTTTGATAGGTGTTGTGGTTCAGACTGACTTGGGGTCTCAGGCTTTGATAGGTGTGCTTCAGGCTGACTTGGGGTCGGAGGCTTTGGTAGGTGTTGCGGCTTTGTCTGACTTGGGATCTGAGGCTTTGATAGGTTTTGTGGCTTTGTCTGACTTGGGGTTTGGGGCTTTGGTAGGGGTTGCGGCTTTGTCTGACTTGGGGTCTGAGACTTTGGTAGGTGTTGTGGCTTTGTCTGACTTGGGGTCTGGGGCTTTGGTAGGGGTTGCGGCTTTGTCTGACTTGGGGTCTGAGACTTTGGTAGGTGTTGTGGCTTTGTCTGACTTGGGGTCTCAGGCTTTGGTAGGTGTTGTGGCTTTGTCTGACTTGGGGTCTGAGGCTTTGATTGGTGTTGTGGCTTTGTCTGACTTGGGGTCTGAGGCTTTGGTAGGTGTGGCTTTGTCTGACTTGGGGTCTGAGACTTTGATTGGTGTTGTGGCTTTGTCTGACTTGGGGTCTGAGGCTTTGGTAGGTGTTGTGGTTCAGGCTGACTTGTGGTCTGAGGCTTTGATAGGTGTTGTGGCTTTGTCTGACTTGGGGTCTGAGGCTTTGGTAGGTGTTGTGGTTCAGGCTGACTTGTGGTCTGAGGCTTTGATAGGTGTTGTGGCTTTGTCTGACTTGGATTCTGAGGCTTTGATAGGTGTTGTGGTTCAGACTGACTTGGGGTCTCAGGCTTTGATAGGTGTGCTTCAGGCTGACTTGGGGTCTGGGGCTTTGATAGGTGTGGTTCAGGCTGACTTGAGGTCTGAGGCTTTGATAGGTGTTGTGGCTTTGTCTGACTTGGGGTCTGAGGCTTTGATAGGTGTGGTTCAGACTGACTTGTGGTCTGAGGCTTTGATAGGGGTTGTGGTTCAAACTGACTTGGGGTCTCAGGCTTTGATAGGTGTATTTCAGGCTGACTTGTGGTCTGAGGCTTTGGTGGGTGTTGTGGTTCAGGCTGATGTGGGGTCTGAGGCTTTGATAAGTGTTGTGGCTTTGTCTGAGTTGGTGTCTGAGGCTTTGCTAGGTGTTGTGGTTCAGGCTGACTTGTGGTCTGAGGCTTTGATGGGTGTTGTGGCTTTGTCTGACTTATTGATTTAGTCTGCATCTTGGGTGTTGATCTGGTTTCTGATTGGGATTGTGCTTGGGGTGTAGGTTGAGATGTTTGATGATAATGTGTCAGAAAAGGGTTATGCGTTATGGTGTGCAACTCCACATCTGGATATGGTTCATGTTGGGGCACGGTCTGGAATCCTAATTGATGAGAATGTGGTTTTTGTTGAGAACCTGTTTGGGGTTGTTCTGGTCTGGGTTTGGATTGTGTCGGTGGTTGGTGGAGATTTAATGGGTATGGGGCACGATTTGGAGGTTGTGCACCGTTTTGCTTGTGGACTGGTACAGAAACTGCTGGATCTGAAATATGAAGTGGAAGTGGGAGATTGGAAACTGAGGGGACCTTGTGGAAAGGAGGAATGACAGATTTGGAGAGGCTTCCACCTGGGTGGCATGTCAGAGAGAGAGAGAAAAGATTTCCAATAAAATCTCTTTGATTCAAATGATAGACAAAAGCAATGACTGAACTGGCTCCAGAAAACGGCAGCAGTTCAGGCAAGGACCTGAAAAATAACATTATGATCCTTGACCTGGTGTAAGTTACACATGATCCTTTTTTTACCTGACACAAGATTCAGTCTCAGAACTATCAAATTTTCCTCGCCAGGATGTCTGTGGTATGAATCCAAAAGCTGTCTCACTCAGACACGAAGATAGAATATTTTGATTGACTACTTGCCTTATGGGCATTGAGAATTGATTCGACTGCCCTTGAACGGGAATCAGAGAGAAAAGTCCAAAAACAGGCAAAGCTGATAAATTTAAATTCTAAGATGACAGTAATGCATAGACTCCAATTTAAGACAGTCCATTGTTGTCATTTCGTTTGCTAACGGTCTGGCTTAACAAACTTGAATCACCATTTACCAATTGGCTGTTTGGTAGTCGCAGGTGCTGCGGATCCAGAGGTAGACAGAGGTTCCTGTTGAGTCGTTGTGGTGGGAGCTGACAAATATAGTACACATGAAGTCATATGAAAGTAGAAAGCAGATTAAATGCTGCATCCATCCTTAAGTGACATCATAGAGGCAAAGTTGTGTTGTAGTTTGTTTTTTTGTGACCATTGCTACATTTCTGAGTTCATGCTCAGAAAAAGAATTACCAAGAGTTGTCTTTGGGATTATGTGGCGGGAGATGGGTTGTCTGCCCTGTGTCTTATTGTGAAGAACTGACAAAGAGGAAAGAAAGAGTGGTTAGGTTCAAAGTCAGCCCAAAATTTATCGCAGTCCTGCAAAAGAAACTGGAAAGTCAAAACAGTTCTTCAGTGCAAGTACCAGTTCACAATAATGCTTTCTTCTTTATTTATTGATACAGGAACAAGCCAAATGGACAGGCCAATGTTCCTTAGATCTTAGAGACAATCAGATTTTTTTTTTCTTCAGGCACTGTAAAACCTAATTCAGGTCTTCTGGAGATAAACTTAGTGTGAGGTGGTCCGGGTTGAGCAGAGGCTGTGTATACTAATCCTTTGTAAAATATTTATTAGGAATTGAGAAAAATAACAAATATGCGTCATCATCCTTCCAAGATCCGATGGTCTAAATTGGAAAAATTGGATCTGCGGCAATGTGAGATGCAATTGTGATGCGTAGCGTGTGCATTTTCTTTCATGCGTCATTGAGATCACCGTCTTACAGTGTTTCTTAGAAAAGCAGCAATCACGGGCATGCCAAAACTATGATCTATATTTCTTTCATTCTGTTTCATTTCAAATCACATTCATGTCGTCTGGGGCCAAGTGTCATCAAGGCTCTGGCAAATCTCCGCCAAACTGCACGTTTTGGGAGTGTAAACAGAACACCTCATTGTGGAGAGAATGTAACGACGCGGTCTGTAAATGCATCACAACATACTGTTTGGGATCAAGTTATGTAAATCGGTGATTGGAGTGAATTAGACTGGATTGCAATTGGAGTTCATCGTATGGTATCACATTGCGATTGGAGTGAATCCTATCGCATTGAATCGCAAATAGCTTAAAATGTTTCGGGAATATATCGTACCAATTGTGTCAAGACAGTGCACTGGTTTGAGTGATTAACATTCTTTGTCCAGTCTTTACTATTTTACTGAAACTTGGCCAACACATGTACAACAACAGCTTTCCGGTAACTGGAATTTGCCAAAAATCAAAGTTTGAATCGACTCTTGTCGGGTCCCTGATTAACTTACCGTGGCGAGGAGCAAAAGGGAACTGCGGACCTTGCGCTAGCGGTTTCTAGTGGGTCAAAAACAAAAGAAGATTCGATCAATACAGTTGCAACAATCACAAAAAATAAATTGAGAACTACCGCAGCATTCGGTTGCTTTTAATATCGCCTGCTGGCATTGGGTGGCTCGAACTTGGACTAAACGGAGAGGCTAGCACACTACAGACAGACTTGGCTTGTTGCGCCCTGGCTGTTCTCATGCCGTTTCCATTCGGCAGCTGCAAGGGAAATTAATGAGGCAAACAACCCTGAGAATAGCATACACATACAAAAAAAATTACAACATGCTCTCCAGAGGTTTATTAATTCTTCCGAGCGCACGCCCCAGTCCCTGAATATGTTTATTATGAGACGAGCTGTTAGTTCTCATTTGTTTCGACGACTCTTTCAGCTTATCCAAAGAGCAAAGCGTCCATTGATGGATGGATACAATCAAACCTCCGTGTGGCTTGTCGTTAGAACTTTTAGTTTATTCTTTGATTGCATTTTTTAAAAAAGACTAAGGTAGTACGTACCACGGGGCTGATGGGACGTTTGAAGATTTTCCTGATGACTTTCTCTGGGGACACAACATTTTATAAATAAATAACGACATTCTCGTAGAAAAAAGGGATGTCATTCAGTTATTGGATGGATCATTGTTCATTATACCAAAAGGATGCTGAGAATGTTGAGTTTTAATGACTATTATGGATAATGGAGTCGGGCCGTTGTGATCAAATTTACCTTGAACACCCCCTGAGCTGATATTGTGGATGACGGGCTTGCTCCACGATCCGGTCTTGTCCTTCGAGCTGGGTTGAACACCGAATTCGTAAACGGCGTTGGGCTTGAGGTGGTCAATGACCGTGTCACTCGTCGGACAGGTTTGGTAGTTCCACTTCCTGTTTCTCTCCCGGTAACGCACTGTGTAGTGTCTGGACCAAAGACAGAACGGAGCAAAGGAAATACTTCAGCTGTAGATCATGTATTTACGAACATTTTGTCAACAATTTTCCTGGCGTTTTCTGTCGACACTATGTAAACGTACCCATCCTCGAGACAGTCATTCATGATATTCCCTTCATAGGGCGTCTTCAGTAGGGTCCCCCAAGAGAGCAAAACTGAGGTGGGGGTCACTGACCCGATAACCAGATGCAGTGGCTTCTCCAATTCGACTTTCCCTGCGGATGAACGCTTATTAACTTACAGTATCTGCTTGCCACTTAGATCAGCGTTCGTGTTAAAAAGTCAGACCTGTGCAGTGCTTTTTCACATCATTGGTCGGGATGGGCTGGACGGCGATAAGGTACTTAGGCTCGGCGTCTGAAGACACAACATTTTGAGGTATGGTCTAAAAGCTTCAAAGACCTTATTATGAAATCAGTATATTAGTGCGAGTCTTTGGCAACCCTCACCAAACTCCGTCTCGTAGGGCTTCCCATTCTCCGGGAGCGGAATGAACTGTTTGGAGAACATGCTGCTGCCGTAGCCCAGGATGTAGCCCTCCAGCTTGGTGTCCGTGTTGGGACGTACAAACTTCATCACAATGGTGTCACCGGTGGCGTTGATGCGGACCTTCATGTTCTGGCGTCGGACTGCGGGAACAGGACAGGATGTGATTATTATTGTTGAAAATGCTTTCTTTGTCGTTACTTTTCGATATTTTCGAGCATTTCCCCTCTAATCTGAAACCATGTTCACCCTGGTATTTTCATTTTTTAAATGTCATTTTAGTTGTCAGCTTCACTTGGCAACGTGAAATTTGGTAAGCATGTCTAATATGAGTAGACCCACAAAAAAAGTATCAAAAGCATTGCCTCAAAAGACATGGGGCGCTGCCATTTTGGTTCAAAGCAGCCGTTCTGTCATTTTGGGCCATTTCCAGCAGCCCTTCAAAAATGAACTCATTCCAGAGATTTAAATTTGAACCACATGTCATAGATGCATGAAACTAAATATCAGGAGGGGAGGGAGTTTTTGTCTTTGTCTATGAAGTTTGATTAACCCCCCATCCCCCACCTCCATATAACATGAAACTCATCGTTGCTGAGTTCCACCAGGTCAGAACTTGACCAGTTGAGTTCTATGTGATGACCGTCGCATTCTGAAGAAAAAAAAAAAAATCATAAATCATAATCGCCCCATACCGACAGCAAATGTTTTAGGTTCCGCTCTGCACCTTCCAAATTTTATCAAGTCCAGCTTTATCCAACTTCAAATTGTGTGTAAAGAAACTTGATGAGCCGGGCGAAAAACAGAGCCAAAACTATCATTGAGAATCAAATCCACTCAAATAATTGAGTCGTATTTTTCTGTGTTCACACTGGATCTTGAGGTCAGCAATTAGCCAATTAATTTTTTTATTTATTGGGAGCGATGATGCTCGGATGAGTGAATCGGGGTCATAACGGTGATGGATGACTGACGATTGGCGCATAAACACACAGAACATTAATCAGAATACTGGGCATCCTTGTGCTGTCAATTACCAGATGTGACAAAAGAATGACTGGCGAGTTGATCAAATTAAGTGCGCTTTTGTGGGATTGTTGGTTGGCTTTTCCCTCGTCTTCTTCAAATTAACATTGACAACGGAGCAATTAGTGGATTTTTATGGTTTTAGAAAGAGGATCGGAGTGACAGATGAGCCCGTAAGGGCTTCAACCTCCGTCCTTTGTAGTCAAGCCTAGAAACAGCAAACTTTCCGAAGCACATGTCCTTGGCTTCAATCTCAGCACCAAATGAAATAGTGGAACTTTGCATGCCGACTACCGCTCGCGGCTGCCAGACCCCAACGCAGACACTTGCAAAGGGGGAAGCCCTGGATTTGAAAAATACCCTTCTTAGCTTTTCCAGCTATGTGTTCCCGATGAAAACCTCAATCAAAAGCATTTCTTTTCACTTCTCCCACCAAGGGTCCCCACAAAAGCACAAGTGAGATTGGCCGAGTGAGTAGGAAACATCAGGAAACTTCTGGCAATGTGTTTTTCAAATCAAATACAAGCAAAGACTGGCTCGGACTCACGTTGACCATTAGGCCTGCGAGTCGCTTAAAAACTGTTTAGTCTTATCAATATTTCTCAAGTACGGTGATTAGATCTAGATGATCTGACTAAGCCACGGGCCTGATCAGCGATCCATCACTCAGCTACAATTCTCACATTGTTGCTTTTTTGCAATGCACTGTTGAGGCTCTCAGAACACCCTCCCCCCCTACTGGCTGTCACCCAAATTGCTCTGTGATATCATTTCTCTTTTCCACACAATATTAGTGGCCAATCTTTCAGACTAAACAGTACTCGGTGCCAGAATTTCAACAAATCCTAATCGGGGTCAGTTTATCCAAATTTGTCTTCGCGGAACATTTGCAGCTATTACATTCTAGATTGACTCAGGAAACATCTGTTCGTACTGAAAACAAAATAAAGAAATAAATAATACAAAGGAGTGTACCCCCCACCCCCAAAAAAAAACTATTTTACAAAATAATCTACAAAAAAAACGTAAAAAGTAAAAATGTGAGTATAAAATCGTAATATTGTGATTGAAGAGCGGTAATTTAAGAATGAGGTTGCAAAATAATCCAAAATGTTGCGATGTCATCTGAAATCGTAACAATGCAAGAAAAACAGTTGCAATTTCATGTGGCAAACACTGAGAAGATGAACTTCAGATTTTCTAGCATTACCTCGTAGTACAACGAGAAAAAAGTTGGCTATTTTGCCCTCTGTATTTTTCCTCATAAAATTTGGATTTATTCCCTTTTCAACCAGACGCTAATATCTTCATTCGGGACCAATGACATCTCCCTTGCATGCTTATGAGTGACAGCTGACCCACTTTCCGTTATCTGGCCATTTGAAATGACACGATGATTATCTCCAGACCGTCCCAAATGATCACTTTGCGCACTCATTCTACCAAAAACAAACATGGTTTGTGTTTTATAACGCTAATTAAGATAAAACCATTCCGTTCAAATATTATGACTCCGGCAGTCTTGCTCCAAATGTGAAACCAGTTAATTCCCACTAAACTGCACGTGCAAACCCTTCAAAATGCAATGAAGTCACCAATCGGCATGTGGCATTACCCAATAAATCAAGTCTCACAACCTGATAAACATTTAAGAATTGTCCTCTCCATCTCATGTTTTGGTGAGTAAGCCGAAGAGGTCATTCAGTTGGCTTGAAAAGCAGCAACACCCTCAAACTGGAGACTGGAGCTTGGCTCCAAAGAGGACGTTATCGCCTGGTGATGCATGATCCCCCGGGAAAGGGAGTCGCATAATATTGGTGAAGAAAACACACGCTCACGTCAGCTTTGGCCACAAATTTCCGTGTTACCACGAAGCGCACATAAAGGTGAACAATTGGTGGAATTTTTTTACCAGAACTTGGTGATTAAAAAAAATATGCATCAAAGGATTGAGCTTGCCTCTGTATCAAGAGGTTTTCTTTCTTTTTTTTCCTGGGCTTTGTTAGCCTTTTAATGGACAATGCTACTCAGAAAGGAAGGAAGGCATTTTACTTTTGTATTTTCTACTATAAACATTACTTTTTTTGGGGGGGGGGGTACTTTTGTTTTTTTTATTCACTTGTTTCTTCAACACTAAGCATTTAGAATCAAACTACTGTACTACATTAAGCACCATAGAAAATAGATGGACAGCTGTTTGATGAGAAGAAGCAAAAGTAAAGCTCTGGAATGCTATGCTAGCTCTTCACGCTAGCTGCCTGCTTCTACTGTTTCTTCCTTTAAGAGTGGGGGTTGTTGTTGTTGTTTTTTGTTGCTCTTGTTGATTTATTCACTTGTTTTTTTCAGTGCTAAGCATTTAGAATCAAACTAATACAATAACTTGTGTATTACCAAACCACCAAATAGCATCAGTGAATTTGTCTCACTTTAAATACTTGCAGTATAAATTCCCCCACTGATTTTGAGAGCCATAAATTTGATGCAGGGAGAGCTGTAGCATGGATTGTTGTGTTCTCAAACAAAAAGTCTTTGTTGGAGTCGGTGTGGACGTTTTAGTGGGTCACACAACACATCTGCTCTCATCTCCCAAACTAAATGAGGGTGTATAAACTTTATACCCTTGTACTATACTGCCCAAAAAAAACTATATCCCCTCACATGCTTGATCGTTTAAATCAATTACACTGAGTGAAGTTGATTAATCCCCCCCACCCTCCGCACTCCCTCCTTTCACCTCCCCAAACACAGTTTTTGCCAAACACACAAGAGGTGATCTCAAGCCAGAGTGCTAGAAGTTGGGAGGTAGATAGAAGAGCCGAAACAGATGTTTTTATGACCTACTCCATTTAGGGCAATGGAGTGTGAAAAACTTGCCGTGCCCCGTGCCAGCCGCGGCACAGACAGTTGAAAATAATTTACATAGCGACAAGGCAATGACAGCTCCAGTGACCTATATTAGTTCAAACGGGACTGAGGGAATATCGGCTATAAATCAGTGGGAGTCTATTTTGGAAAAATCCCTGCACCGGCGGGAGATAGTCATGCCAGGGATCGCACTCGGCAAATTTTCCTTGGCGGCCTCTGTGCTGTTTTCACACTACAAATGGCTTTGGGGATATTTTTAAAGGAGCCACCGCAACTTTCTCTTCCCCCTTGCGGCGCTGCTTCATCCCATCCTTCTTCTCCCATGCTAAATGTGGAAGTGGCCATCTTTCCATCATCTTGACACTTCGGGATTCCACATTCATCCGGTAACCCTTCCTCTCTTTGCTGTCTTCACAAACCATTGCCATCATTTATCCGCGCTTGATCTGCGGTTTTGTTTCGCTGCCTCAATGCTCCCTCCAAGGCATTTATCATCTAAATGTGGGTCGGTCGTAAATAATTTCTTTGTTGTGATAGCGAACAGGGTGATTTGTGATCGCGAAAGGGGTGATGTCATACATTGCGTTCTAGGATACAGTTTTATGTTTTGTTTTTGTTATTTGGTTTTAGTTAGTTGCTTTGAATTTGGAAGCAAGATTCGACGATACAGTAAAAATCTGTGATGCAGAGAGATCATTTAAAAAAAAAAGAAAAACAGAGTGAAACAGATTAAAATACACCTATTTTGAACACATTGATCCCGTAATCGAACGCACACAAAATTGGAATCCCAACTCATTTTGCCACAAAGTAAAAGCAAATCCTGCAGTCACTGTAATTGACCTCAAAATGGAAAAATTTCAATCAACGTGGCCTACCCATATGCACACCAAGTTTGTGAGGGCAAAACCCGCCTGGCGATGGGGAAGTGGGGGTGCGCCAACATTGCCTGAGCTCAGAAGTGAATGTGTGCCTTAAATAACTTGGGAAAGTTATCCTAAACCAGGATTCCCAAATTGTGGTGCACCATCAGGTGGGTGTGTGTAATTACAAGTTTAATGGTTTTCAGGAATGATAAATAGGAGACGGGGTGCGCCAACACTTCCCGGAGATTTAAAGGGATGCATTTCCTAAAAAAGTAAAAAAAAAAAAAAACAAGTCCAAAGCCCACAATTGAAAAGGAAACACGTGTTTTTGCACTGTCGCGTGTTTTTCTTGATGTGGTCATGTTTTGATCATCTTTGCAGTACTACACATGAAGACGTGGCTAAAAATAGGCTTTCAACAGATGTCAAAGGCTGTCTCACTTGAAGAACTCTGTAACAGTTCACGGTGCATATTTTTGGACTGAGCTTAGAAGAAGCCCTTCATATCTTCAAATCATCATTGCTTTAAACAAAAAAAACAAGCACGTCATTTCATAATGTGCTTGACTCTCAAATCAGGTGCTTGCGCCAAGAAATACACACACTGGAAAAAAAAAAAAAAAAAAACCTGCCCTCTTCCCCACAGAGAAGAAATAGTAAAACAAGCGCAAAGCTGAACACCGTGACTTGTCTGCAAGCCAACTTCTGCCAGCAAGCGTTGAGCGTTAGTCGAGTCGGGCTGCTGGCTGCTCACCTCACATCATTTTCACAAGCATCAAAGTCTTCATAAAAGCTTGAGCACACACAAATTCGGCTGGAACCGTGGCTGCTCAGTACGCAGCAGCGAAAACCAGGGCTGGAGTTGGTTTGTGCAATGTGAGACAGGAAAATATTCTGTTGACCAAAACTGCCAATCAGTGACTCAATTATCTAATCTACTGAGACTGGGTTCTGGAAAGAGAGAGGAAATTAAATCCCCGCGAGGAGCCTTAGCTCAAGTTTTGTTCAAACTCCCAAAAGGGAGGCAAAAGGTCCGCAATATGTGTCGACTCTAAAACACTGTAGTGCTAATCTCCCATCTGTGCCGCTGGAATTACTGTCGACGTTCAGTGTGTGGTCCTTACGCTTCGGCACGATCCGAGACGGCACAGCTGGGGCATTTGCGGGCGCTTTCATCAGAGTGGAACTCGTGCAATTCGGGGTTTTTTTTTTTTTTTTTTTTAAGGCGAGAGGGAGGGGGTCGAATCACACAGAGCCAGGTCAGTTGCGTAGGAAAGTTACGCGAGGATGCCGATGTTCTTCTCGGCCATTTTGAGCAATCGAGTTGTCTCGCCGCGACTCTGGCCTCTTCTCGCACACGGAATGAAGCAAACACTGCGGGATCTCTTGATCGACCGTTTTGGCCACACCGAATGAGCAAAACGGAAATGTCTTTTGTGGCACACCTCGCACTGTCGGCGCGACCAATTTATACAACCTGCCAAGATACCCGAGCGTCTCAACAGTTTAAGCGGAATGCTGCCTAAGTCTTTTCACTTTTTATAAAAGATAACCGTTGCTATTCATAAATGTATGCGTGTGCATTCTTTCCACAATTCAACGAGTTGACAGGAAATGGCAAGCACACAACGTACCAACCTTAGAAGAAGAAGAGGAAGTTGTTGCGGGGCCATCGGAGTTCTTTTCAGCCTTACCTTCATTTGTGTCAATAATGCAGTGACCACGGATGTCTTCTGGGAATTGACAGCAATTATTTTCTTTTTTGTCTCTGCCTCAATCTTCTTCAGGTCAAGTGCACTTTGCTCCAGCTGCCTCAGCCTAGAACACACGGAAGTAGTTCCAAATGAATACCATGACAACGGATCTTTAGAGCGAACCGGTTGATAAGCCGCACCCGCTAAATTAGGTGATTGATGGTGTCAAGAAGAAGAAGTAGACTGTCGGGAAACTAAACTAAAGATGAAGTCAAACGCCGGCAGTTGTGCCACAGCATTTGCCCCGTTTGTACCGTTGCACGTTCTATTCGATTCACACGAATGGAAGAGCTGCTTAAGGCGCTGTGGCTTGAAGGCCGGCGGGGAAAGTGGTGGCTTGTGGTTCAAACTTGAGGTCGCTTGTGCTTAAAAAAAAAAAAAAAAAAAAAGCCCGGGGGGGGGGCGCTTCTCTCGGTTAGCAGGTACAGGTACGGGGGTTTCTTGCTTGCAAAGAGACCGGACCACTTCTCTGAGCTTGTGCAGCACACTTGACCGCAGCTCGGGATGCTGCTGCACCTTCTATACCTCCCTGATGGAGGGGAGGGGTCAGTCAGAGGGAGACAGACACACTGGCTTTCTCTCGAAAAGGAGTTGTCGCCAAACCTCCCGCCCTTCTCTCCTCTTCTGTATTTATTTCTTTTTTTTTTTCCTTACACTTTCCCTCCCTGCTTCGTCTGGTGGGTCCGCACCATTTCTGCTTTCCATCTGCAGCAGAGGCTCCCTGACACAAGTCATTGTTTTCCTTCGCCTTCCCTTGTGCTTCTCCCCGGGAGTGTTTGTATGCACAGGAACAGTCACGTTCAGAGCAGCGCGCTTACAAGCACATCTATTTTGGCCTTCGTATGCATGCCCTACTGCGAAATTCATAAAATGTGACAGCTGAGGTTTTAACCCATTATGGTAATGTATGTAGCAGCCTTTGCCAAACTCAAGGAGCCGAGGGTGTTGCCTTTGGCAACGGAGTTCCCGAGCCGAGAAACAAAAACATATGAAAAAGTTTGATGGGGGGAAAAAAAGGCAGTGATCAAATCCTTCTAAATCAGGGGTCACCAACTCCGGTCCTGGTGGGGCCTTCTCCTGCATGTTAGCGATGTCCCCCCCCAGCCCCTCACCCCACAACATACCTGACTCAAACAATTAGCTCAGCAGCAAGCTCTACAGGAGCCTGATCACGAACCAATCAGGCGTGTTGGAGGAGGGAAACATCAAAATCGTGCAGGATAGGGATCCTCCAGGACCGGAGTTGGTTTTAAATACTCTTTCTGAAAAGACTTTCATTACCCACGGCATTTTACAACTTTTCCTGTACTTTTTGTATGCTCATTTTGACAACCGTCATTATCACTTGTACATGAAATGTCTTCTTTTTGTTTTTGGGAGATGGGTCTGCTGCATGGCTTCCCTGCATGGATCCGCTACGCTGGTTGACAAAGTGTAAATTGGCAGCTTGGAGATGAGGTACCGCCTCCAAGCCGTTCACAACCCGCTGTAGCATTGGCCTAGGTTGTCGTGGTAACGCAAGTGTTCTCAAGGTGGTTTCGGGTGAGCAGTGGCTCTTTTCTATGTGACAAAACAATCCGCCCACAAAAAAAAAAAGTTTGCTGTACTTGTTGAAGTGAACGGAACAATGCCAGAATACTTTTATTATGACATTTGAGAACTGACTGTGGCAATACATAAATACTGTATGTCTATTTAAAGCAGACCACGCAGAATATATTGGCAACGTGCACTTTCATTTTTGTCGCAGTCAATGTTACGGCAATACATTGTTTCTTTTTCAACTTTGAAGTTCTGGGTTCATCAACATTCCCTATCATCGTGACACACTGGACCAGTTAGACCATTTTCAGCCCCCTGGGTAAGCAATTAGTGCTAAGTGGCAACATCAAGGGTGCAGTCTGCATTCCAAAACTAATGGGATTCAACAACAAAGAGTGAGGTGGCAATAAACCGGGTGTGGGGGAATTGCTTGCTTGCAGTAACTCAGTCTATTTGTGACCTGACTTAGGGATCACCGGGTTAAAGGTTCTGATCCTGCTTTCTGAAGAAGAAACACAGACATCTGAGTGGTTGTGGAGAGATGCTTGTCAGGTCAAGGTAACTTCTTTTTGAAAAGTCGATGAATGGTTGATGGTCCCCATAACGCATGTAAATGTCGAAACCAGTCCAAAAAGGCTGTGGACCATTGGTCTAATTTGTTTTTTTTTTTTTTTTTTTTTTTTAAATTTTCCTTAAACCAAACCTAACCTATGCCAACGATGTATCGGGCCAGGCCGGTCGTAAATAATTTCTTTGTTGTGATAGCGAACAGGGTGATTTGTGATCGCGAAAGGGGTGATGTCATACATTGCGTTCTAGGATACAGTTTTATGTTTTGTTTTTGTTATTTGGTTTTAGTTAGTTGCTTTGAATTTGGAAGCAAGATTCGACGATACAGTAAAAATATGTGATGCAGAGAGATCATTTAAAAAAAAAAAGAAAAACAGAGTGAAACAGATTAAAATACCCCTATTTTGAACACATTGATCCCGTAATCGAACGCACACAAAATTGGAATCCCAACTCATTTTGCCACAAAGTAAAAGCAAATCCTGCAGTCACTGTAATTGACCTCAAAATGGAAAAATTTCAATCAACGTGGCCTACCCATATGCACACCAAGTTTGTGAGGGCAAAACCCGCCTGGCGATGGGGAAGTGGGGGTGCGCCAACATTGCCTGAGCTCAGAAGTGAATGTGTGCCTTAAATAACTTGGGAAAGTTATCCTAAACCAGGATTCCCAAATTGTGGTGCACCATCAGGTGGGTGTGTGTAATTACAAGTTTAATGGTTTTCAGGAATGATAAATAGGAGACGGGGTGCGCCAACACTTCCCGGAGATTTAAAGGGATGCATTTCCTAAAAAAGTAAAAAAAAAAAAAAACAAGTCCAAAGCCCACAATTGAAAAGGAAACACGTGTTTTTGCACTGTCGCGTGTTTTTCTTGATGTGGTCATGTTTTGATCATCTTTGCAGTACTACACATGAAGACGTGGCTAAAAATAGGCTTTCAACAGATGTCAAAGGCTGTCTCACTTGAAGAACTCTGTAACATTTCACGGTGCATATTTTTGGACTGAGCTTAGAAGAAGCCCTTCATATCTTCAAATCATCATTGCTTTAAACAAAAAAAACAAGCACGTCATTTCATAATGTGCTTGACTCTCAAATCAGGTGCTTGCGCCAAGAAATACACACACTGGAAAAAAAAAAAAAAAAACCTGCCCTCTTCCCCACAGAGAAGAAATAGTAAAACAAGCGCAAAGCTGAACACCGTGACTTGTCTGCAAGCCAACTTCTGCCAGCAAGCGTTGAGCGTTAGTCGAGTCGGGCTGCTGGCTGCTCACCTCACATCATTTTCACAAGCATCAAAGTCTTCATAAAAGCTTGAGCACACACAAATTCGGCTGGAACCGTGGCTGCTCAGTACGCAGCAGCGAAAACCAGGGCTGGAGTTGGTTTGTGCAATGTGAGACAGGAAAATATTCTGTTGACCAAAACTGCCAATCAGTGACTCAATTATCTAATCTACTGAGACTGGGTTCTGGAAAGAGAGAGGAAATTAAATCCCCGCGAGGAGCCTTAGCTCAAGTTTTGTTCAAACTCCCAAAAGGGAGGCAAAAGGTCCGCAATATGTGTCGACTCTAAAACACTGTAGTGCTAATCTCCCATCTGTGCCGCTGGAATTACTGTCGACGTTCAGTGTGTGGTCCTTACGCTTCGGCACGATCCGAGACGGCACAGCTGGGGCATTTGCGGGCGCTTTCATCAGAGTGGAACTCGTGCAATTCGGGGTTTTTTTTTTTTTTTTTTTTTAATCGCCACAACAGAAAGTCGACACCTCCTGCTGTGACACTCGCAGGAACTTCATCTTGTGAGCTTGTCTCGCAAGATTAACCTTTCAACTGCCTAACCCGAGGACGTCTCCAAGTAAAACTCATGACGGACCAGCTGTGCTTTGGTCGTGTCAGTGAAATGTGACTCATTCAAAAAAAAATCTTGCCGTTAGTCTGGCAGGTGAGAGAAAGAGACTTCTGTCGGGATGATGCTCTTTCGCATTTGGCAGGACCAAATTAGAAGCACTTCCAGTACTGAACAAAATGGATTCCTCCATTATTCAGGTACAACGAGGCACGGCCCAGGTTGGGGGATGTTTACACGGATGAAATGATCAAACATTTACGATGGACCTTTGGACAAGAGTGATAACCTTTCAAATTTCTCTCTCATTAGGAAAGAGCAGGTGGAATCTTGAACTCCAGACCACCAAGAGATGATGACCCATCCATTCATTTTCTACCGCTTATGCTGTTCAGGCGCCGCAGGTAAGCGGAACGCCAACCCGGCTGACTTTGGGAGAGAGGCGGGACATAGACTCAAAGCAGGTTGCCGGTTCATCATCATCATCACTGATAAAGCGGACGCACGTGATAACGTAGGCGTGTCCTACCTCTGCTCCTGCGTGGCGTGGAGGGACCGGACAAAACTATCCCAGCGATGAGGACCACCAGGAAGAGGACAAGAAAGCCGGGCGAGCGCTGCTGCATCCTTGCCATGACTGCGGCACCCGCGGATGTGGAATCTTGCGGCGAATGGACCAGCACTGGCGTCTCAAGGTTCAGCTGAGGCTCGAAAGTCACGTGGGGTTAGCAGGTACAGGTACGGGGGTTTCTTGCTTGCAAAGAGACCGGACCACTTCTCTGAGCTTGTGCAGCACACTTGACTGCAGCTCGGGATGCTGCTGCACCTTCTATACCTCCCTGATGGAGGGGAGGGGTCAGTCAGAGGGAGACAGACACACTGGCTTTCTCTCGAAAAGGAGTTGTCGCCAAACCTCCCGCCCTTCTCTCCTCTTCTGTATTTATTTCTTTTTTTTTTTCCTTACACTTTCCCTCCCTGCTTCGTCTGGTGGGTCCGCACCATTTCTGCTTTCCATCTGCAGCAGAGGCTCCCTGACACAAGTCATTGTTTTCCTTCGCCTTCCCTTGTGCTTCTCCCCGGGAGTGTTTGTATGCACAGGAACAGTCACGTTCAGAGCAGCGCGCTTACAAGCACATCTATTTTGGCCTTCGTATGCATGCCCTACTGCGAAATTCATAAAATGTGACAGCTGAGGTTTTAACCCATTATGGTAATGTATGTAGCAGCCTTTGCCAAACTCAAGGAGCCGAGGGTGTTGCCTTTGGCAACGGAGTTCCCGAGCCGAGAAACAAAAACATATGAAAAAGTTTGATGGGGGGAAAAAAAGGCAGTGATCAAATCCTTCTAAATCAGGGGTCACCAACTCCGGTCCTGGTGGGGCCTTCTCCTGCATGTTAGCGATGTCCCCCCCCAGCCCCTCACCCCACAACATACCTGACTCAAACAATTAGCTCAGCAGCAAGCTCTACAGGAGCCTGATCACGAACCAATCAGGCGTGTTGGAGGAGGGAAACATCAAAATCGTGCAGGATAGGGATCCTCCAGGACCGGAGTTGGTTTTAAATACTCTTTCTGAAAAGACTTTCATTACCCACGGCATTTTACAACTTTTCCTGTACTTTTTGTATGCTCATTTTGACAACCGTCATTATCACTTGTACATGAATAACCGTCATGTCTTTTTTGGGAGATGGGTCTGCTGCATGGCTTCCCTGCATGGATCCGCTACGCTGGTTGACAAAGTGTCAATTGACAGCTTGGAGATGAGGTACCGCCTCCAAGCCGTTCACAACCCGCTGTAGCATTGGCCTAGGTTGTCGTGGTAACGCAAGTGTTCTCAAGGTGGTTTCGGGTGAGCAGTGGCTCTTTTCTATGTGACAAAACAATCCGCCCACAAAAAAAAAAAGTTTGCTGTACTTGTTGAAGTGAACGGAACAATGCCAGAATACTTTTATTATGACATTTGAGAACTGACTGTGGCAATACATAAATACTGTATGTCTATTTAAAGCAGACCACGCAGAATATATTGGCAACGTTTGTCGCAGTCAACCCATTTGTCAATGTTACGGCAATACATTGTTTCTTTTTCAACTTTGAAGTTCTGGGTTCATCAACATTCCCTATCATCGTGACACACTGGACCAGTTAGACCATTTTCAGCCCCCTGGGTAAGCAATTAGTGCTAAGTGGCAACATCAAGGGTGCAGTCTGCATTCCAAAACTAATGGGATTCAACAACAAAGAGTGAGGTGGCAATAAACCGGGTGTGGGGGAATTGCTTGCTTGCAGTAACTCAGTCTGTTTGTGACCTGACTTAGGGATCACTGGGTTAAAGGTTCTGATCCTGCTTTCTGAAGAAGAAACACAGACATCTGAGTGGTTGTGGAGAGATGCTTGTCAGGTCAAGGTAACTTCTTTTTGAAAAGTCGATGAATGGTTGACGGTCCCCATAACGCATGTAATTGTCGAAACCAGTCCAAAAAGGTTGTGGACCATTGGTCTAATTTGTTCTTTTTTTTTTTTTTTTTTTTTTTTTTTTTTTAATTGTCCTTAAACCAAACCTAACCTATGCCAACGATGTATCGTGACAGGCAGAACAAATAAAATACGGCACTCTTCCTTTAGATGGTCCATTTAGCTACATCATTAACACGTGCATTCACTTTTCGTGACATTTTTGTTTGATAATGTGCGATGAGGACGTAAAATTTTGCCTTGGCTCAACAAGGTTGGGAAACACTAAATTGCATGATCCACGGCAGAGATCTGTTCCTACGACGGCGACATCGGCCCGATAGGAAACATTCCAATGAAGTTCAAAGGAGAGGATTGTTTGATAATGTGCGATGAGGACGTAAAATTTTGCCTTGGCTCAACAAGTTTGGGAAACACTAAATTGCATGATCCACGCCAGAGATCTGTTCCTACAATGGCGACATCGGCCAAATAGGAAACATTCCAATGAAGTTCAAAGGAGAGGATAAGACAACAGTATTTGACGCTACCTGTAACAGTTTATTTCTAGTTTTCTCATCCTTTAGATCAGCAGTCCCCAACCTTTTTTGCCCCACGGACCGGTTTAATGTCAGACAATATATTCACAGAACTGCCTTATAAATACAACATCTGGATAAATACAACAAAATAATACGATGTGACCTGCATGAAACCTGTGGTATTTTCCGAACGTGCTATCTGGCCGCAACACTCTGGTCGCTATGGTAACGTTTAAACGTGCCTTCAAAATAAGATACACCGCAAACACAAAATGCACGAAAAATACGACTCACCATCACCGCATACTATGCAGGGAGGGCTTGGTGCGTGGGAATCTCCCATTGAGATAAAGCCGTATATTAAGTAGGACCCCTGATACTGTCTTAAATTAAATGTAGCCTTTGTTTTCTTGGAAGTCGTGGGCTCCTCTTCTGTCTCCTGGCTGGGCATTTTCCCCTTCCCAAAGAAACTTTCCAAAGGCGTTTGTTTTTTACTCATTTTGCTAGCTCCTGGGTTTCATTTTAGCAGTAACCTATCACGTGACCGAGAAGCGCGCCTTTACCTGGCTCAAGAGTGACATACTGTGGATGGATGTAACAGAGATTCCGGTAATTTTTCAAAATAAAACATCTTTCAGATTCCAAATGAAAAAAAAGTAATGCAAGTTATTTCATCTTTCTGTGCGGCCCAGTACCAAATAACCCGCAGACCGGTGCCGGTCCGCGGCCCGGGGATTGGGGACCTGCCTTTACCAAAATGAAAAAAAAAGTAATGCAAGTTATTTCACCTTTCTGTGCGGCCCAGTACAAATAACCCATGGACCGGTACCGGTCCGCGGCCCGGAGATTGGGGACCACTGCTTTCGGTCATCTTAAGGACAATGCATGTGACAATGTATGTATGCAAGTACAGGTAAAGTGGTAAATGAGTCTGCATTCTTCTGCCTACTTTTTCTTACTCCGCTGTGCCATTAGTTATCTTGAAAGCGAGTATGTCGGGACCTTCATAAACCAGAGACACCATGTACTTCCTAGGACACAGATTGTACCTCCGCCAAAGCCTTAAAGTGAGGCCACCGCACAACAGCTAAAAATACACCTTCAAGGAAGTGTATCTTCGAGTTCAGCAACAAACCGTTGACTGGCATGTTTATCGTCCGTTGAGGACCTCGGAGCGCATTGGTGGGGACCTGACGGAGGCAGAGGCCAGGGAAACGGCTCACAGAACGCGTTTGCCAACCAATCAAGTCACCTACGTGCATGCGTGTGCGCCAGCGCGGCTGCCAAAGCAGTTTGGAAGCGCCCTTTTGATCCCCTTAAAAAGGATCTGATCCCGGCATCGTGCTTTGGCCTCCTGGTTTGGCTGCCCACGTTACTGAATAAACACACACACACACACACACACACACACACACACACACGCAAGTACACACTGAGTCAGCTTTCGGGAGTCCAAAATGGTGAAGGGCTACCATTATATTCCATGGAAACATTGTCTCTCATCATGCAGTCTATAAATGTCTTCTCCGGTGATGCCATGGAGACACACTAAGGTCAAATGTAGCACAAACGTGCCTTGTGACAGCATTACATCTTGATCTTACAATATGTCATTGTTTACAAAGACTCACTTTCCTTTTTTTTTTTTTTTTTCTTTTCTTAAACATGTGCTTCTAGGAAGTTGACGCGTGCATGTTCCTTCCCCTTTTCAATGGTGGCCGGCCAAGACTTTCTGGTAGGCCTCAAGGCCACGACGCGTGTAGTAAGTGCGAGTGCATGGCGCGCACATGGTCGCTTCGCACGTGCGCGGACGCGCCGTGCGGCGTCCCCGCCCTACGAAAGTAGTTGATTATCCCACATGCCATTGCACGAGACGGGAAACGCGGGGCGCGCGCCAGCGGGGGCGTGTCCCCTGGGGAAGCAGGACTTTGGAATGGAAGCGCGCCTTTCATCGCAACGAGAGAGCCCATCAAATATAATAATGGCAATAATAATAATAACAGTCTGCTTGAATGATGAACGAGCGCAGCGAGTAATCAACCTGACCTGGCCCGCTCGCTGACTGGATCTGTCAGTTCATGACATCACGTTATATAACATACCCCGTCTTTTTGTTGTTGTTCTTTTTCTTTTTCACTGAGATCTTTCACTGTTCCGACCTTGAACTACAGTGGACAAGCACACATATTCTTTTATTTGACACCGTTTATTTCATAAAAATGATATGCTACCATTTTCTTGGGAGCGATAAAAAGCAAAACGACTGCTCCGGGACAGCTTTAGGACCATAAACGGAAATCTTTTGTACGTGTCATGTTTTCCAATGTCGGAGCGGATGTTTTTGGAATGTTGGCAGGTGTCGGTTGCTTGCTTTCAACCTGTTGATGACTTTCAAAACAAATATGGGAGCGGAAGGCATTTCTGTCCTTTGTGGACTCTAAATGCTCATGCTGAAAACTGCCATTGATAGGATACCAGCAAGGCAACGTGCTTCTCTTGAGCGAGATACTGTTGATCAATTGTTGGGTGTCGTCTTGGTCTCATGACATCAAATTATGGACGTCGTGATCGGTAGAATTGTGTTGGTAGCTCTAGTGTCTGTGCTTGCCGCAACGTGTTTGCGTGATGTTGAGAGCGGAGTCTTGTTTGATTCCAGCT